TGAATTGCTCACAGAATCACAGATACATTCAGAGATCTATCTATCTGACATTGGCTAGCTCAGTCTGTCACAAAAAAATTGTTTGCAAGCAAACTCCTAAAATTTACTAGCAAGGAAACTCACAAAATTAACTCACAACATGCCATATGTGAAAATATTGATTTTTTTTTTATAAAAAAGAGCAATTTTTGCAATTTTTACCCAAAATCAGGCAAAGCAGGCAGATTGAGTTGCTCACAGAATCCTTCGGTGATCTATCTATCTGCCATCGGCTAGCTCAGTCTCTCAAATTTGCTTGCCGTGAGTCGGCACTGAATTTGCTTGCAAGCAAACCTTCAGCCCTAAGGGAAGCAGAGCCGAAGATCTCAAGACTAGCTAGAGAGCAAGAAATCCAACCATTTCCTGCTTCCTAGCTAGTCTAAATCTCCTGGCACAGCAGAACAGCTGATGGTCGGAAAAAGGAAAAATAGCAACTTAGCAGACAAGTTTACCGGGTAAGGAGTGAGTGGGCAAGGAGGGTTCCCGCGGGCCATGTGGGTGGCACAGCCTTGTGCTTCTGCGCGGCCTGGATTAATCGCTTTTGGGGGAGTGCTCTGGGAGTGAGATTTCTCTGCGGCCCACCAAAATTTTCTCACGGCCCACCGGTTGGCGACCGCTGCTTCAGAAGACTTAGTCCTGGGCTGATTGACCCTTAAGTTGACCCCTTGGCTGAGACTGGTTTTTTAGGGAGTTGCTTCTCTTCTCTGTCCCAGCTGGCCTGGAGTCGTCCTTGGGGAGGCCCTGCTTCAGAGAGTCTTCCTCCCTCTCCTTCTCCCCGCAGGTCAAGTCCAAAGCCGCAAATGCATCGAAGAGGTCATTCACTTTGCTTGGGAAGAGCGTCTCTTCCTCATGGCCGATGAGGTAAAACCTGGGAAGTCTCTCCTGCCCCCCCAAAACAGAGTCCTTCCCACCCCCAACTCTTCCCTTTGCCAGGTGGGGCACCTGGGCCAGGAGGAAGAGCATGTCCAGGGTTTCACTGATGCTTCTGGCCCACTGTTCTGCCTCAGCCTCCTTGAGTGGGGTACCCTGTAGATGTTGGGGCCCACAGGGCTCCCCAGATCCAATCAGCATGGTCAGAGATGAGCAGTACTGGGATCCAACCTTAATTCGCTACAGGTTTGGTGGGTGAGCACGTGTGTGTGTGTGCGCCCCTAATGTACCAATCAGCTGAGAGGAGAGAACCTCCCCCCCATGCATTTTTGGGTCTTTTATCCTCTCAGCTGATGGTTGGAGGCTTTCCCCCCTCCTCTCAGCTGATCATGGGGTTTTTTTTCCTCAGCTGATCGTGGTTTTTTTTTTCCTCCTCTCAGTTAATAGTGGGGGCTTTTCTCCTCAGTTAATTGTGGGAGGCTTTTTTTCCTCAGCTGATTGTGAGGGTTTTTTTCCTCAGCTGATCATGGGAGGATTTTTTTCCTCAGCTGATAGTGGTTATTTTTTCCTCAGCTGATAGTAGTTTTTTTTTCCTCAGCTGATCATGGGTGGCTTTTTTTCCTCAGCTGATCATGGAGGCTTTTTTTTCCTCAGCTGATCATGGAGGCTTTTTTTCCTCAGCTGATCA